TGCGAAGACAATATTTCTATATTTCTTTATGTGCTCCATAGAATGACTAACTATCAGAATGTACTCACTAACTGATGTCAGAGAGGACAGCAACCATGTAATTTCACTATGAATCAAATTCGTGTAATTTAAATAATACTTATCCATGCCTGTACAACTGGTGTGTCCTACATAGATAGGAAATATGTACATATCGCTGATCTGATAATTTGGATATTTTGATATTGGTTTCAGAAATTCCAGGATTTACTGACTTATTGTTTTCTATTTCCCTTAACTCTGCCTTAAGTTCTCCTATAGAAAACTTTAGAAGTTCTATTTCTGAAGATAGTACTTAAACAGAGCTTGATGCCTGGAGTTTTTCGATAAGCACATAAGGTGTAGAGAGGGGTTCTTTATGAGCAGAGAGTACTGAATTTTTAGGAGTAGTGCTAATACTACCTGTAAGTACACATTTATCCTCAGTTCCAGCTCGACGCTTACGATATACAAGTGAGGTATGTGGCTCACTATAACCGTTTGTAGGGAGTATGTTGCTTGATGTAGCAATCAAGGTCGTAAAATTAGTCATCAGATTTACAGGGGATTGATTTCGTTGCTTTTAACTTTGATTAACCACAACTATTTGCTATAAGAGTTAATGGTTACAGGTATGGAAGTAGTATAGTACTTGTGTAAGGATTACAGCAAGATAAATTTTATGTAACGAATCACGCAAAAATGTAACGCAAACGTTGAACGTACCGCGTATATATTTATATACATATATTTGCAATGAGTCATTGTTGCATGTTTTGGGTATAGAATTTTAGAGTCTGACGGTATTGACGCTCACGGATGCTGCGAAGTACCCCAACGCAAGATCTGATACCCACAACTTCTATAGTATTCTTTCCGCGTAGACCAAAGACATAGAAAACCAGCAGGATTTATCGGCCAAATTACGAATTATATTTTGGGACCAAATCGGAGTACGAGATGATTGTCTAACTAGCTAGTTATCGTGCACGAACGAACGTGATATGACGGAGTGCCAAATGGCGTGGACGCTTGACCGGAAGCCTTCAGCTAAACAAGTTGACTTAAACAGTTAGGGTCAGCATCCGATATTCAGTGATGATTGCTGTGGTCAATACTTTTAGGGACTTTATGTATCAGGATTCAGTAACCTACCTCTCTCTCCACCTACCTATATTACTTTTTATAATTCTAACCCTGTCCAACTATGTTGTGTGTTTGTGTGTTAATACATGCAGTACTATAGCTGAGATTTTTGAATTACTTATCTTCATGGGATCAATAATTTCTGCCTTAGTTAAATTTTTATGTTCTGATAATCTCACTACTCCTGATCTGCTAGTTTGGTCAATGGAGTTGACCTCACAGTCATTGCAAGGCATGTTGTAAATTTTACTACTTTGCTTACTCATGTATATAAGTGAAGAGGAAAAGTTGTGTGACTTGGCATGATCATGAGCAATAATCTGTGCTCGAAACGTCATCAGTTAATATTAATCAACAACTGTGTGATTTATCAAAATAAAATCTCATCCATGATGAAGTTACTCCTACCATATTTATCGACTAATTGCTTGGGATCATCAAAGGTTTTGGGTGAAATTTCAACACTATGTAAGTGCAATTTTTCCATAACTCTGAATTTGACATAGGTCTCAAATGTTGACTTAACTATTAGTAAGATTTAAAGGCCTTTCCAAACAGCTGGCACATTTCTTATGCAAGTGTATATTGTCATTCCAAGGAGTCCCCAGGTCCTTCTTGCATATATATTATAAATACACTTTCAATGGTGTATAATCCACAATTGCACTTAATATCATTTTGCAGCTTCCCAGGGCGTTATTCGCTTCTTAAAATTGCGCTAAATCACGTGGCGGCATAGCACTCACCTAGATACACGCTGTTCACTGGTTGACCATAACCATCAGCAGGAAACGGAACGAAGTTTGGGTTGTCGCTCATTTTTGATGGTGACCCCAGTAAACGGTTTACAATTTAACATTTATACGAACCTGTTCTAGTTTCTTGTACAATAATTGAAAAGTTTAAACTTTCGAAAAAGTATTAATTTGTGATACTTCCCGATTGTAATTTATAACATAACTGATCGTGCCTGTAGAAATGACATGCATTTCTTGTGAAGACCAGTTTGTACAAAAAATAAGTTATAATTAATAATTATGTCGGTGTGAGGATAACACAGGATACCTGCACAGTTTTAAGAATAACGCCAGACATAGCACCTAATCCAGCTCACGAGAAAGGTGTAGGGACCGGAGACATTTAAGAACGCCATTTGTGCTGAAACCAATGAAGCAGCTTTCATCAATTGCCAATAGATGTCGACATCTTGTAAGTGTATGCACAAACTGTTTAATTTTTGTATGGGCAGTGAAACACTCTTCAACATACAGCAAAGATGCCTGCTTCTTTAACTAGCTCCTTTCTCGCCTTTTCATATTGTTGGAGTCCTCACAGGTAGGTGAGTGAACACCTATTTGCCATTCAGAGCCAGATATAATTCCAGCTGACGGAGGAGGTTTTGATTAGCCCAACGGTGAGAGTACCTTATTTAGGTTTTTCTCAACTCATCAAAGCTTGACATGCTGTCTCCACTTAATTCTGGTCTTCATTTCATGGCCCTAATTTAGTTTGAGTCTGACTCATTGAGCGAAAACTAAATACACTCGATGGAAAACAGCAGACGGAAGTGAGCTAATTCGAAAATGAAGCTGATATTAGACCTCCTCAACATAGCACACCATAGCCAGTCAGATCCAGTTAGCAATAAAGGAATTCAGAGGGGTGAGAAGAACATCCGAGTAGGAATCAATGTACGAAATGGAAGTTCGCCAAATCAACTAAATCTTAGCTATTTCACCTTCAGTGATCAATTTGATTATCAGCGTTTACTGAAACATACTGCGGACAAGTGTCTTATCAAGGGACCCGAAAGCTTTTTATTCGTGCGATTCGGTTTAACTGCTTTTAACTTTAAGACGCTTTCGCGCGCACCTGTCTGACCTTCATCTGCCTCGAGAATTCTTGACCATTCCATCACCTTTCTCTACTAATATCCACCTTTAAGATGATTTTCTCAGATTGTTTATTTTGAAGGAATTTTCATAGTTTTGAGACTGTTCGTCAAAACGTAGGCATGTTAAAGAGGCTTTTAAAAGTCAAATCGTCCGCTTTAATCGTAACTATAATTCAATAGTTTACACACAATGACAAGTTTTTTATCGTAGTAATATTATGAGCAACATGAATAACTTCTTATGTTGTGTAAGACCTTGAAATACAATTACAATTTATGTGATCTATTTCACAATGCACTAATGTTTCACTGCTAAATCATCCAATTTATCATATTTTTCACCTCTCTAGTCCATGATATGCATTTGATAGCTGAGAGAATAGTCGAACGTCTGTATATATCTAGGTGTGTTAGTGGTGGACCAGAATCGCTGGAAATGACTATGCAGTTATGACTGGCCATTTCTGGTGCTGTGACTGCAATTGAAAGCACTATATTATGAGCTCATAATGATGCTGTATGCATGACCCAGGACTTCTCACATTGTGCGAGAGTCCTGTCAAAGGGTACTGTACAGTTTCATCAGTATTCTTGTTCTACGGTCATTTGCTGTCTGAGTGAAGCTACCAGCGAACTTCTTCAAATATATATTTCCTGTGGCTAACTGTCTATGTGGCAGGCGTAGTCTACAATTACTTCTCAAATAAGTTGAAAAATTCGTCTACATGTACAATATATATGGCATTAGCTTCCGTCAATACCGTACGCATTCTTTATTAGACGTAGTTTAACCACTGCCTTTGATTTTTCATTTTTGTATTTGGTAAGGTGCTAGATTGTTAAGGCCTTCGCCTGCCATCCTTGTGAAAAGAAGAGAGTAACCATTAGTTCAAAAGTTACAACGAGCTGAAAATATCCTGAACGAGGCAACCGGGCACTCAACTATTAGGTTCTGTAGAGACAGGATATCTCATCTCAAGCTATTTCCACCAATACCATGATTTCATTATTCATTTCAGGGTAGATCTTGCCCAATAATTACCGCTTATCTGGATTAATTCTGATGTTTGCACATAGCTGCAGCATAAGGGTGTCTTTCAGTAGACTTAGATACAGCTTCAAAATCGGCATTCTCTACATCTTTCAAGGAGATCCTGAAATTTCAGTTTCTGATAGTCTACCTTATATCCAGGAAAGAAGTGATGAACATAAACAGGTTTTATTAATAAGGCCTAGTTCATTTATATGTATCTGGCTTCAGGTATTGACATGAATGATATCTTTCGCAAATGAGTTTTCTAACTCTCACTTCTGAAGCATTCTGTCGAGTCAGATTCCTTACTTGGGTTTTGTGATTGAGAAAATTATTCTACTCATGTTTATAAATACTGCAGTGTCGGATCTAAGGGCTAACAGTAATCCTTAGCGTTGTCATTTTTCGAAGGATTTACCATAGCATTGCATCATCTAAATCGTCTCTGACTTCGCCTCAGACTCACTTGTCTCAAATTTCTGATTATTATGAAAATTCATCCATTTGCCATTCAATCCCTACCCGTATTTATGTACTTACTTGTTTGTTCTTTTTCCTTGATTGCATACGTTCACCCCGAATTCCATTATTATTCAGCTTCTCAGCCTCACCAGAGGACTGAGGGGGGGGGAAACCACTAGGTTGAGGCATAATAGCACCACTCTGAATGCTGAGAATCACACGGAAACCAAGTTCCCATACCAGTCGCCTTCGGTTTAAGCAAAGCAGATGAGTTGAGGATAGGCTTGACAGAAACTTACTGATCATCAAGAAACGTCACCTCACGACTAAGAAGATGGTTCGAAGAAAGTAGTTAAGTTCACACAAACTTGTGAAAATGATATTGGATATTGGATGCTTAAGTTCATCTACCTAGCAACGCTACGCCAAATATTCAAACCTCAGAAAATGCCTGAGGTTACATGTATGAGGGCGGAAGACAATACCATTGTATTTAATCAAACGAAAAAGGAGGTTTTCACCCTAAATCAACATTTTTCTGAAATATCGAGACATCTTAAGTCTTCCTGGAAGGTCGTTGTGTAAGTAGTAGTAAGATATATTCCTTTGATTTCAGCGACTACTAGAAATAAAGATGACATAACATATGAGCGTCTGAGCATTGTAAAGTTGTTTGTCATCCCTGGAGCAACTGAAAAGTTCAGTGCTACAGAGTTCAACGCACTTAAAAAATACATTGAAAATGGTGGATCTTTACTTGTCCTTATGGGTGAGAATGGTGAAACGAAGTACACTACAAATATTAATTTCTTGTTGGAGCAATTTGGAATCATGGTTAATAGTGGTGAGCAAACTTAGTGAATTGCTTATGGTAGATACCGTCCTCCGAACATCATACTTTAAGTATTACCATCCGAAAGAGGCATTGATTCCAAATGGCATACTTAATAGGTACCTTTTAATGTATTCTTATTCAGTTTAAAGGGCAATAGCAGAGGCTGCTGGGAAATCCTTCGTGGTAAATACCCAGGAAGACGTGTCACACAAGCAGGCATTGCAGTTCTTGTATCCGTATGGTGCTACTTTAAACGTCGCCAAACCTGCCGTCGCCTTGCTTTCATCGGGTAGTGTCGCATTTCCGCTTAACAGACCGGTCCTTGCAACCTGCAAGCTTTCAGTAGGTTTTTCGCTTACAATGATTTTTTAGTCAAATAAAGGTGGGACGTTAGCAGTTGTTGGTAGTACAGCTATGTTCACTGATGCTTACATAAACAAAGAGGACAATTTCAAAATATTTGAGTTTCTGTTCAGATATCTAACATCGGATTCAATAAAACTGAATTCTATAGACGCAGAAGACCCTGAGATTGAAACTTACTACCAGGTGCCTGATATTACTAGTCTGGCCAGCAGTTTAAAATCATGTTTGCAGGACAGTGATGAACTTCCACAAAACTCCAACAGCTATTTTGACCAGGGTTTGTTTTCCATGGATACAGGACTTGTGCCGAAAGCAATTCAGTAAGTTTTTACCTTTTTCGCTTGTTCATGAAAACTTGTGTTTTAACAAAAAAGTTATCTCACACATCTACTTATTGTACTTTCTATAAATATGATTCACTGTTGAATGATTGAAAATGTATATTAAGTTCAACTCTGACATTGTGATGTAAGATTTTATACTTTGATTGGACACTAGTAACTAGTGCGGTGTGTCTAGTCCTTACTTTGGTGCAGACTGAATTCCATCAGTCAGGTTTGCAATGTGGCCACTATTCTAGGTAGCTCACCATCACGGTGCACATTGATTTGATGATGATGCATATTGATGGTTTGCAGACCGGACTAATAGAATTCAGTCTGCATCGAAGAACGGACTAGACATATCGCACTGGTCACTAGTGTCCAATCAAAGTACCCACTACAGTCCTACAGGAGGTCAATCGCGAGCCCGAATAGCTTAGTGGTAACGTGTCTGACTGCAGCACTGGGTGACGCGGGTTCGAATCTCAGAAGGGACATGAGTTCCTTCAAGGTTGCAAATACGCCTTGCTGACGAGTGCCAACTAGCCCGAAACCTAGGTTCAAGGCTTCCCGAAATTTGCCTCCGACCATCCAATATCATAAGATTTTGTATTTGCTCGTTTACCAAACACATAAGCTTTCTCGTTCTTCCTGTTTGCATAGGTGCGACCAAATTCACTACCAGTTTTCTTGAAATTCATGTCGATACATGATATAAACATGCCAATACATTGTACCTATGTGATTTTTATCGTCTGTCTGTTTATTCTTTGAAGGGCATATGAGAAACTTCACGTCAAACATGAACCTCTTAGTTTGATTACGCCTCAGTTTGAAACTCCTTTGCCTCCGGTTCAACCTGCAGTAAGTTTTACGTCTACTTAACTAGTGTAACTTTTTCCATTATGGGTAAATTTTTATTTTGATAGAGTCTCACAGTGTTATACAGTAATATTTACTGATGACGTTTCGAGCACAAACTATTGCTCATAATCATATCAAGTTACTCACACAACTTCTTTCCTTCATTTATATACATGTGTGGAATCGACTAGATATTGGATTAAAATTCAATATGAGATAATGTACATTCAGAAATAATAGTACGAGTGTTATTAATCCATTGCAATTAGATGGGAAATACGACGAGTGTTTTTTTTTTTTTTTTTTTTTTTTTACAGTCATAATAAGTTGATTGTTAGAATGTTATGATGTGCTTGAATGGAAATAGAATTTTAAGACTATTTATCATCTTCTTCTGATTTGACTGGCGGCAATAATATCTTCCATATTTCTGGTATTTGCATTGAGTCACTTCTGTTGCATGTGTTGGGTGTAGATTCGATGAACAAAGATTCAGTAATCAACCTCTCTCTCCACCTACCTAGATTACTTTTTAGAATTTTAACCCTCTCCCACCCTATTGTGTGGTTGTGTGTTAATGCATGCATTGCGATTGCTGAGCTTTTTTCTAAATTACTTATCTTCTCTGGGTCAACCATTCTTATCTTAGCTAAATTCTTATGTTCTGACAATCTGACTACCCCTGACCTACTAGTTTGACCTATGTAGTTGACCTCACAGTCATTGCAGGGTATTTTGTAAATTATATTATTTTGTCTAATTGGGTCCACTGGGTCCTTTAACCTACAGAGCTTGTCCCTGAGTGAGTTTGTAGGTTTAAATGCCACCCTAATTCCTGCTTTATTTAGAATCCTACGTAGGGTCTCAGATGTCCCTTCTTTATATGGTATAACTGTAGATGACTTATATTCTCTCTTATTTATTTTATTACTACTAGTTTCACAATTCTTTTTATTTTTCTTTTGGCGTTTTTCAATCTTCCTAATGAATTTTAGAGGATAGTTATTTAAAACCAACGCCTCTTCTATCTGTTTTATTTCATCATTAAGGTCTTTTTTTGTGCTACTTAATGCCATTGCTCGGTTTGTTAAACATTTAACTAAGCCTGCCTTAACAGTTACAGGATGAGATGAATTAAAGTCTAAATATCTATTAGAATGCGTTGGTTTTCTATAAACACTAGTTTGTAGTTTGCCTTCTTCTCTTCGTTTTATTTTACAATCTAACATAGCTAATTCTCCTTGCTCATTTTCGGTTTCAAATGTGAATTTTATTCCTTCCACTAGTGAGTTTATGTGTGTCAAGAAGCTAGAGATATGTTCTGTTTTTAACACTGTGAAAGTGTCATCCACATATCTCCACCAAATTTTTGGAGTAGGATTAAATGTATTAAGTGCCATATTTTCCCAGCTATCCATAAATATATCTGCCACGATAGGGGATATTGGTGATCCCATTGCTACACCTTCAGTTTGTCTATATATTTTGCCTTGGAATTTAAATATAGTAGATGTGAGGCATAGCTGAATCCCTAAAATAATTTCCTCAATGGACAGCTTTGTCCTATGATTGAGTTCAGTATCCGCAGTTAGTTCTTTTCTAACTGCTTCTAAGGCCATATTGACTGGTATATTAGTGTAAAGACTGGTTATATCAAAACTAACCATTGTTTCATCATTATCTAGTTGTATGTCATTTAGTTTATTTTTCATCTCATATGAGTTAGTTAGTCTAGAATTTGAACGATCTCTAATGGGGCATAATATTAAAGCTAAATGTTTTGATAATTCATATGTAGGGGTATTTCTAAAATCTACTATTGGTCTTATGGGATAACCTGGCTTATGTATTTTAATAGTACCATACATCCTACTAGCATTATTAGTTTTAGGCATTAAATTAAACCATTTTGACTCACCCAGTGACGGCTTCATTCTGCGTACTAATTCCGCTGTGGATTTTTTAACCTTATTCATTATTGTATCTACGGGCTTCTTGATTTCCTCATATGGACCCATTTCAATATGTTCAGTGACCTTCTTGATGTAGTCAGATTTATTCAAAACTACGGTGGCGTTTCCTTTGTCAGCTTTTGCGACGACAATATTTTTATCCTGTTTTAGATTAATTAAAGCTTCTCTTTCCGATTTTGTCAAATTTGATTTTGCCTTCTTTTGATTTTTTAGGGTTAATGCACATTGTGCTCTAACCTCTTCTGCTGTTGTTTTATCTATTGAACCTAGTGCTACTTCTATGTTAGGAATGACATCCTCTGGCTTTAGTTTATTAACTGTTACGTTGAAATTTAGTCCTTTCTCCAATACTTTTATCTCACTGGAGCTTAGTTCCCTTGATGAGAGGTTGATCACCCACTTTGTTTTGTCGATAGAGGATGAAGCATTGACATCAATTTCATTTGCTGTGTTCTTTTCTTCAATAAGTTTGTTGAATTTTTTGATTTGTGTGTTTTTTGATTTTCTTAATGCAGATTCTCTAGCTTTTTTGGATGTTTCAAGAATAATTGTATAATCTTTGTCATTGATCATATCTTTGAGTTTGTGTTTGAGTTTTTCAATTTCATTTCGTATATTATTTAGTTTCACAGTAACTCGATGTAATTCTTCTCTTAGACATAATCTACTGACGTTTTCGGCAGCTGATGTTATTTTATTTGAAGTAATTGGAGTACGTAGACGTAAATATTTCGGAATTATATGATTTTTTAAACATCGACTGTTAAAAATCCGATGATTTGTGAATCTTGCTTCAGTTTGACAAACGCCAAAAGAAAAATAAAAAGAATTGTGAAACTAGTAGTAATAAAATAAATAAGAGAGAATATAAGTCATCTACAGTTATACCATATAAAGAAGGGACATCTGAGACCCTACGTAGGATTCTAAATAAAGCAGGAATTAGGGTGGCATTTAAACCTACAAACTCACTCAGGGACAAGCTCTGTAGGTTAAAGGACCCAGTGGACCCAATTAGACAAAATAATATAATTTACAAAATACCCTGCAATGACTGTGAGGTCAACTACATAGGTCAAACTAGTAGGTCAGGGGTAGTCAGATTGTCAGAACATAAGAATTTAGCTAAGATAAGAATGGTTGACCCAGAGAAGATAAGTAATTTAGAAAAAAGCTCAGCAATCGCAATGCATGCATTAACACACAACCACACAATAGGGTGGGAGAGGGTTAAAATTCTAAAAAGTAATCTAGGTAGGTGGAAAGAGAGGTTGATTACTGAATCTTTGTTCATCGAATCTACACCCAACACATGCAACAGAAGTGACTCAATGCAAATACCAGAAATATGGAAGATATTATTGCCGCCAGTCAAATCAGAAGAAGATGATAAATAGTCTTAAAATTCTATTTCCATTCAAGCACATCATAACATTCTAACAATCAACTTATTATGACTGTAAAAAAAAAAAAAAAAAAAAAAAAACACTCGTCGTATTTCCCATCTAATTGCAATGGATTAATAACACTCGTACTATTATTTCTGAATGTACATTATCTCATATTGAATTTTAATCCAATATCTAGTCGATTCCACACATGTATATAAATGAAGGAAAGAAGTTGTGTGAGTAACTTGATATGATTATGAGCAATAGTTTGTGCTCGAAACGTCATCAGTAAATATTACTGTATAACACTGTGAGACTCTATCAAAATAAAAATTTACCCATAATGGAATTACACTCTACCACAGTGCCCAAGTTTTATTCTCATAGTGTAACTTTTTCACTAAATGTTTCAAAACTGGCATTTGTTTTTTTTCTACTAACGATCTGACGGAAAATTCCCTTTTAAACGTAGAAGTGATCTTTGTTATAAATGAAACGAGTAACGCAATATCATTTAGTATACTTTCATGTGATTTCGGTGCAGATAATGATTTAAGCAAAGCATGAAGATTTTAATCGCATCTGTTGTTTGAGTCTACTGCCAAAGGATAAAAAATTGTAAAATCACTCAACTATTATTTAGGTATTTTTACACTGGTTTTAGGGAGGAGCAAACACATTTGCAATATTACCAGGTTTCATCCTACTGTGTAACCATACAGGTGTTTTCTGCACCTGATAGAATTGCGGTTATTTTTGTGGCCATTCCAACACATTTAGCGATATTTTCATAATATGCTCCAGACTGGCATTTACAGCTTAAAAAACAACAAAATTTGAACAATCTTTCTCATGTTTTGTATTTGTTCAAAACTCATTCTTTGATCTCAAACGTGTTAAACGCTTATGTTATTAAACAGTATAAACTACTAAGAGTTGTCGAAAATCAGCGAAGGAGTCAATATGACGACTATCATTATTGAGTTTATTGAAGAAGTAATGTGTTTATTCCATAACTTAGGTTCAGTCATGGTAGTGTAATGGACTGTTATTAGGTTTTAAGACGCAGGAAACGTTTTCCTTTTCATTAATGGCTGCAAAACCATCGTTTTGCATAACTTTAGCGATTCCATTGGAACCATCTAAGTTTGAGATAATTTTAGCTCAAACCAACCCTTTTCTATTTAAGGTTTCAATTTGCTTCTTTCGTACTTCAAAAACCAGTTCAACTAACTTTTTGGATTATTACCGTAGCTTTTCTTCTGCCTAGTAGCACTTTGTATTTGTATAGAGTGTTCATTGATGTGCGTGACAGTCCCGGCCAACTACGCCACTACAGATTCAACATTCACCAACAACCTTTTTATTGTCATATTATGCTTTTGATTGTTTCATATACTAGAAAAATGATTTTTTTTAATTTTTAAATTTTGATTATAGCTTGATTCCACACCGTATTTTTGATACAAGTATGGAATTTTCAGGATGTGATATCGGTAGCCCAAATTTTGCAGGCCGACCATTGATATCAGGTGTGCGTCGGCAGGGGATCGAACTCCGGACCGTGTGCATGGTCGGCGAGAGTTCTAACCGCTATGCCAGCGACGCACATGCGTAGAGAGGCTTCAGAAGTCCT